AAAATAAATAGAAGCAAAATAACAATAAATAATAATCAAAAATTATATACAATAAATAAAATAAAATAACCTAAAAATAAGAAAATTAAAACTAAGCAAAAAACACATGCATACCTATATACATTATTTACAATCAGGCGAGGAAACTCCAGGAGAACCCTGCGCTACTCTCTCAACCGCATCACTGGTACTAAAGCCAGCGGAGATTGATCGAGAGCGTTTACTAAAATAATATTGTAACATCTCAGATTAAAACTAAATTTTGTTTTCTAACAAACGCGAATCACTATATCTTCATTCAAATCAAATATTCTTCTCAATCAAGTTAATACGGCGAGGAAAAAAAAAATTAAATACTATATAAAAATTATCTATTCAGTTTTGAGTCTTAGATTCACTGATGTGCCTGTAAAAGTTATATATGTCTTAACGTATACATTTTATACTGTAGGTAGCCAAACAATTTGAGACTCAAGTTACATAGAATATATTTTAAGACACAAGGCTATAGAATATTCCTTGAATGTATATTAAATTTGATAATCTATGAGTTATAGATATACCTAATTACTGTATGGTTCATTGTTGGTTAATATTTGTATATATTAAGTTTCGAACAGGGAAAATCACGCTAATTCAGATTATATAGATGAAAAAAACGGTTAATCAAAAAATATAACATTTTATTTTATATATATACAGTAGCTGTGGTATATAGAATAGAGGCTTAGTATCTAAGACAGAGGGAGTTCTTTGAAGGTCTAGGACGTTGTTGCACGAATCTGTTTGCAGCAACTCGTGCACTCTCCAAACCCTGCAATAAATTCTTCTCTGTTTTAGCCTTTCTATTTCTTCGCATGACCTAGCTCTAAGTTATATAAATTATGTTTTCTGCTTTGCGGGGTCGGTTACCGCAAATTGATAGAGAACAATTGTTTAAGGAAATTGAGCTTGTATAATTAAAAAACAAGGACAGTTATTCAAAATAATTTGGGTTACATCAATTATGAGACTTATGCAAATAAATATATTTTCCTATTCAAACTTCTTTAACTCACTTTCTCCTGAGTCTCTACTAATATTTAGAGCTTAAGAGTTTGAAAGCCCTAGCTTTAGAAACTACTTGTGCAATTTTAAACATTCTTTTTTGCGTTAGATAGATCTTTTATTGAGGAGTGCTTTGAACCTTATATAAACCCGACTACTAAGTACCATAATAGCGGAGAAGTAACTATAAATATCAACCAATGTGAAATAGGCATATCCACAGGACCATAAGCGTATTGTAGTCGACTTAAAAAAAAAGATAACTATGTATGCGATGTAGACCATATTGCAGATAAAGCAAGTATACTGATATATCACAAAATAATGAATTACGTATGCCAGCCTTATACCAGAGAAAAGAAGACTTAAAAATGTAGTAAACGGGGTAACTTTTCATAAAATAGTTTAAAATATACCGGGTTCATAGAGATTAGAATTTTTGTGAACCCAGTATTTAGAATTTTTAATAGAAATTTGTAAATATTTTTTAAAAACAGTTCTGATATGAGATTTTACCGGAAGATTGTCACCTGTGATGAAAAGTGGATTTACTGGCGAAATCCGAATACCCGTGAGCAATGGCTAGATCGCGGTCAAACTGTTTTTCGGGTTGCTGCAAGGGAACAATTTGAAAAACAAATCCATGCTTTGCGTTTTTTGGAATTTGGATTTTTATTCATCACGAATTTGTGCTCGTAGAGCATCACGAATGGATGTTATATGAATTCTGAACTCTACTGCGTACAATAGGAAAGATTGTACGCGAAGTTGTCAAAGCATTATCCTGCTTTGATCAATCGAAACGAAATTTTATTCCAACAAAGATAATGCTCGTCCTCACACTTCCCGTCGAACCAAACAAAAGTTTAAAGAACTTTATCGGTTTGAAATCCTGCCCCATCCACCTTATAGTTCAGACCATGCACCATCGGATTACTACTTATTTAGATCCATGGTCCATTTTCTTTGAGGGGGAAAAAATTTATAATTTTGCGGGAGTTGAAATTACGGTCCAAGAGTTCTTTGACAGCCATCCCAATGAATATCAGCGTGAGATCGAGAAATTAACTAGCAGATGGCTAATGATGGCAGATAACAACGGATTCTACTTTGAGTATTAAGTTTATTTTAATTGTATCAAATAAATAATAATACAAATATTTGGTTGAAAAAAAGTCATTGTTTTTTTTTTAATACACCTTATTGTTTTGTTTTACCTTCATTTACTTATGGCCATTTTTCTCTACTTCTGTTATCAAAAGCGCAGCTCTCAATGTCTTTTTCGTGGCTTTCAAGGATAACTATATCATCTTCGAAAACAACTATATCCTTGTATTTAATGATTCTTTCTTTCGTGTACTCCTCTATTTTTAAATCATATTCCTATCAAATTCTCAAGGACCAACGTTCTGTCGTTATCATTTTCTTTGTTTTGTTTTTTCCTAATGAATAATATATTTCATAATGTAGTAGGTCAATAGGGACGTATCCAGAATTTAATGGAATTGAAATAAAATAAACGATTCTTTAATATTTATTCACATCAAGAAGAGTGTTTTTAAAAAATAATTAATAATGTAACTTAAAGTAACTTTTAAAACCAGCAATAATTCTCTATTGGGAGGAGTCTAGATGTTACACGATTCAATATTTATTATGTATATGCAAACAAATTAGGAGAGATCCTTGTGAGAGCAGCGAAAGTGAAGAGATCAAGCTCAAAGCTTGGGAATTAGAACATCTTGAATTTTTTTAATATGTTGATTTATTTTACATTTTTTAATCGGATAAACTAATTCGTAAGTTGGTTGCTGTATCTCTTCCCGTGACTTGGTGGTCCGATCGTAGCCGGAAGATGGCCACTACATTACACTAGATTACACCGGCCATTGCAATGACTGACAGGTGTGACCCCGATCCACGCGACGGACCGTACGTGCCGCAGGAGGAACGCACTGTCGTCTCCCTATTTGCATTCCAGCAGAAGTCCTTTGTGTCCTGAAGAGGATCCTCTTCTCCTCGATCCTGCCAAGATTGGTTCGGCTACGTCTTTTTACCTCTTGTTGACGATACCTTTTCATGCGCTTTAGTCGGCTGAACCAGTAATGGTTTACGTTGGATGTTACCGTTGCTTGGCTTTGTATCATCACCGCCACGTTCTAAACCAACCTAAATCTTCTACATCATTCAAAACTAGTCTTCCATCAATTTTGAACTATATTACAAACCGTATTTGTTATTTTTAATAAACACATATATACAGTTTAATTACACCATCTCAATATAAACCCAATAAAATATCGGAGTAAAATATAAAAAATAAATAAATTCTTTAAACATATTTAGTTTACAGCTACATGAATAAATTTCACATATATTTGAAATCTAACCGTCTCTTGTTTATTCCTACACATTCACAGCTCTAGCAATGCCAAGCGTTTAGTGTTGATATTAATAACGAGTGCTAAGGCTTCTGAAAACTTTTATAATTTTTTGTTTGAGTGTGAAAACTTTTTTTTTCAGTGTTGAAATAATTTAGTCTCAGTCTTTTTTCACCGTACATTTATTCAATGCATTTTTATTTACATGACAACGTTTCAGCGTTACTCAATCCTCAGTCCAATTCAATCCGTTTAGGGCTATAACAAACTAACATGCAATCACTTATTTATTATTTATCAATGTATTTATTTAATGAACAGCACAGTTTAATTATTGAGATATTAAGATTCAAACATGTAAGATGGTAATTTTTATAAAAGTTTTTTTTTTAGATTAGTCTGAGGATAGAAATATGGCCGAAACGAAATAGGGCAGCCTAAATTATTTCAATTAATTGTGATTTTGTTTTATAATTAATTTCCATTCAACTTTCTTCATTAAATTTTATTTCTTCTTTATAGATTTCCCTAGTGGTAAAAAATTAAAATACAAAAAAGCAATAGTTTCTACAGTTTTATTAATTTATTTTTTAATATTCCGATTTCAGAGTTTCGAAAATTCTTTGCCCTCCTCTTCAGCGTGTATAATTCTATTATATTATAATGTGGCTCAGTATACTTTGATAAGACTAAGTTTGATTACAAAATCATATGCTGACAAAGCATTCCCAAATTTTTAAAAAATATATAAACACTATTTTATTTTTATTTTGTTGGTAAAAATAAAAATTAAATGTCTGTTTTCTTATATGTGCACATCAAATCCTATTGCCGCATTATTTTACGCTAAGTTAATTAATTAATTATTATAAATATGCTCTAAATAAAAGTGTTATTGTCATATACGTGGGCACCGTAAAAACAGTACATTAAGTATACCAAATTAACCAAAAATCCATCTTAGTTTCTTGATTTGTTTACTCCTTGCTCCTCCGTTTCATTCGCTTAACACAAGATCTCAGTTCATAAATCCGCTTGTTCCCTCTCATAGAACCGTTTCCTTTGAAAAATCCTTTTTCATGCGTGCTACCTTTTTTTGGAATTCCCTACCCACTTCTATGTGCAAATCCTCTTCCTTAACCTCATTCAAATAACATTTATTTATCCACCTCCTCAGCAATCAATCTTCCAAATACATGTAAGAATACAATTTTGTATTTAAGAGATGCCACCTTCATTTGACTGTTATCTTCCTGTTAGATACCTATTATCAATAATGTTGATCGGTTCAAACATATAAACACACTATATATATTTATGTACAAATTAATATGTTTAATTGTACTGAATTTATTTTTATTAAAGTTAGATTATTATTTTATGTTAAATAATTATTTTTTGATTTCCTTATAATGTCTTATAATACTATTGTCATATTTTGGTTCATTATAATTATTCTTAGAGGACTAAATGACCCAGAATACAATTTGTTTTCTTCTCCTTCTTCTAATACACTTTTTTATTATATTATCCTCAATAAACATATTAAGTTATATCTTCCGTTGGTTTCAGGATGAAGAGGAAATACTACTCATGGGACGAGGCTATGAACTTGAGGGAGGTGAAGGTAAGAAATAACCTTTTAAGAAATAACTATTTTTTTTTTTTTATTTATTGAAATTTACAACTTTATCCATACAATACAACAATCAAATGCGTGGTATAACTTGTGAATGAACCTTCTATTGGTATTTTTTTCAATAACTACCTGAAGTTAAGAGGTCCCTTGGCCATCATTGACTTACAACTAGATGCGGAAACGGACGAGATAATAATTTCTAACCTTCACAAGATAGAAAGGAAAGCTCCTATCTAAATTTAATAATATGGTATTAATTTACAGTAAATTTCTTTATTGAGTATTATAACAATCTGTCTGTTGGACATTGGTTATAGTGAGGTAGGATGACACTCACACCATATGTACAAAAAAAAAATAAAATAAATAGAACAAAATAATAATCAAAAGTATATACAATAGACAATAAAATAAAATAACCTAAAAAATAAGAAAATTAAAACTAAGGAAAAAAAAATAAAAATAAAATAACATGCATACCTATATACAATCAGGCGAGGGAACTCCAGGAGAACCCTGCGCTACTCTTCCAACCGCGTCAGTGGTACTAAAGCCAGCGGAGATTGGTCGAGAGCACTTTAGCCACATACACACATGTCTTGAGTGAAGAATCTGGCCATTGCCAGAACTCCAATTTATATAATCTACAAAAGGTCGCGAGGCCACTGCCGTTTCAACCTTCTTGGAGGATTATAGGGATGGGAGATGCTTGATAGGGATTGTGCAAGAGGATTTGGGTGGTAAGTAAGGTTCTGGTGAAATTTGGAGAATTTTTCTGGGATAAGGTCTAGGACAAATGGGATGTTAAGGTCATGATGTAGGGTTTTGTTGGATACATAGAAAGGAGCATCGACTATTGTTCGAAGGACTTTAGACTGGAAGGATTGGATGCGCTTGATGTTAGAAAATTTTGCTGATCCCCACAGTTCTAGTCCGTAAGTCCAAATAGGTTTCAGTATTGTCTTGTAGATCAGTAGCTTGTTTTCAATGGAAAGTTTAGATTTTCTGCTTAGTAGTCGGTATAGTTGGCCGTATCGTCGGTTGAGTTCTTGTCTTTTGAGTCTAGTATGCGGGTTCCAAGTTAGTCTTCGGTCTAAATGAAAGCCAAGATACCGGACTGTGTCTGAATAAGGAAGCTGGATGGAATTAAAGAGTACTGGTGGACAGGAATTGCGTCGGAGTGTAAAGGTAATATGTTGGCATTTAGATTCATTAACTTTAATGCGCCAGTTATTACACCAGTGCTCAATCAAGGTGAGGTGACTTTGGAGATTTAAGGATGCTATTTCGGGATCAGAGTTGGATGATAAGATTGCGGTGTCGTCAGCGAATGTTGCAAGAAAAGTATCGGGATGAACAGGGATGTCAGCAGTAAAGAGGATGTAAAGCACGGGACCCAAGACGCTGCCTTGGGGAACACCGGCTTTAACGTAGTAGATATTGGAAAATTCTGTTCCACAGCGAACTCGAAAGGAGCGGTCAGAGAGGTAGGATCGGAGGACTAGGTACAAGGACTGAGGTAAATGGATTTTAAGCTTGGAGAGCAGTCCGGAGTGCCATACCCGGTCAAATGCCTGTGCAATGTCCAGAATGCTATTAATTATGTGCAGACGATGCTATTAGTTAACTTAAATATTCCGCCCACGTATCTCTCGACCTCATAAAAACTGCAACTTTACCTAGAAATAAATTGTACTTACTAGCATCAAATTTACGATTTAATAAATTCCATGTTTAAATTAAAAATCTGATGAGTGCATCACACAACTTTCACTTATCACCCTCTTAGCAGAAATAAGTATTTTCAGACTAAGGTCGAAGTGAAAGTAAAAATTATTGACGCTATATTTATTTTCAATTCATTGTGGGTATTTATATTTGATTAAATGCCCTTATATATACAAATTTTAATATTTATACCACTGTATCCTATAAATTAAATATTAATTAATACCGACGATAGCATTTTTGAAAACTGCATATTTATATGAACATAATATTGTTGGAGTCCTTATTACATGAAGCTCATGTTGCGTATGGAAGCCTGTTGTAATCTTTCGGGCGAGCTCGAGTGAGCTCGGGCAAGCTCGTATTCCTTTGATTCCTCTATTACAACTATTATCCGTTACGATCTCTTATTTCTCCCTTATTTTTTATATCAAAGACTAATGTGAAATGGTTAATTATTTTAAATTAAAAAATAAAGGTACTTTAGAGGAAAACAATAATGAAAATTGGTCATTTAAGCGCTGATAGAGAACATCAATAAGAATAAAACCTACATTATAATAAAAACTGCTTAATAATACACTAATATACTGAGTTTAATAAAAATCGTTTGAGTTATTTTTTGAGAAAAACGTAAAATATGTTAAAATCGATTTTATATAGTACCACTTCTGGTTTGCCAATTTTGACGAAAATGTTGCTGTAACATTGAAATTTTATAAAAACTTAAAAATATTCAATTTTACATTCATACGACTTTTCTTTTTGAGCTAGACTGATCACACACTTTTGCGAGGCATGGTTATTTGGACTCAGGAGACATTTCTGGAGTCTTCATTTCCGTTGGAAACCCAGACTCCAGCATTTTCACAATCGTAATACTTACCTTTACGATATATTGCATATATAGATAAGTAAAAGTAAAAAAAAAAGTGTGGAGCAGAGCTCTATCACTGTGTAGCGTGTAGAGTTCTATGATCTATTTTCCTCTTACTTCTTATTTTTTTAAAATGGCTTAAATTGTTTCTTGTAAATGTACTAATTTGAAATTAATTTTATTTCTATCTTGTTCTTTAGTACTGATGATGACTTAGGTCGATACGAAGGCAAGCATTAAATATAACTCCCACTTCTCATATTTGTAACTTCTTCAACCACTCTTTCGGCCAACACCTTCTCCTTATATTAGATCAAGCATATCGATATCTTAAAAAATCTGCATTATACGTGTACTCTTTAGGGTGATTTCGGAATAGTGCTTTAAACAGGTGTTATTCCGTTCGTTTGTTCTTAGAAAGTGGGTCAATCCGGTAGTAATTAGTCAATATATGTTTCCTTATCCATTCTATTAGTTGACTTGTTACTTTCTACTGTTGTAATAGAGATTGTAATAGCTTTTCTTTTGAAAAACATGACATTATCGTTATCATTTATCATTGGTGTATAGTAGGCACCCGTCCCGGGCGGCACTTATCTCGGGGCATCAAAATCCATATTAAAAAACTTTTAGCAATAGTTAAAAAATAAAATACTAGATTAAGAAAGAAATTCCTGTTTTATTTATAATATGATACTGAACAATTCATTAATAATATAATAATAACAAGTATTAGTAATTGTAATAAAAATATATTTTATTCTTCATTTCTTTTCAATAAAATATTAAACTTCGCAATATTTCTATATTCTTATATATTTCGCAACTGATGTGATAAATTTAAGTACTTGGGCGGAGTAGTGACAGAAAACAATAATTTGGAAACAGAAATAAAAGGCAAGATGATTGCAGGAACTAGATGTTTCTATGCTCTGCAAAAGGCGCTCCGATAAATGAGACGTGGACTATGGCCAAGGAAAACAGGAGAGCCTTGCTGGTTTGGGAGAGAAGAGTCCTAAGGAAGATCTTTGGAGCTGTCATAGAGCAGCATAGATGGAGAACAAGAAGCAGCATAGAGTAAATGGAGTTATATGGTGAGCCAGACATCCTTAGTGTTGTTAAGAAGGGCAGACTCAGATGGCTGGGTCATGTTGAAAGAATGGATCTAAGTAGACTTCCAAAAATGATGCTGAACGGTACTCCAGGAGGAAAAAGACAAAGAGGTAGAGCCAGGCACCGATAGTTGGATAATCTGAAAGAAGACTTGAGGAGGCTGGTGATCAGAAATTGAAGGAATCTTGCTGCGGACCGTATGTTGTGTCAATTGAAAATATTCTCGGAAACTCTACCAACAACACGATGTATCAATAAAACAGTTTATATAGTTTTTGAAGTTCTAAAAAAAAAAAAGATTTAGACAGATTCAAATAAATTTGGAGTTTTTCCTTACTCCTCTCACTGTGTATAAGGCCATAGTTTGGAGACCCATGCTAATGACTAACCTGTGCCTGTTAATAATTTTTTAGAAATTTGTTTATATTTATTGCTGCTTCATTTTTTATGTTTTCTACGTTGGAAGGGTCTACCCCTCCTGAAGAGGTTAATGCCAGACATTCTCTTTACATAGAGGTAGATGACACCGTGTTGTGGCCGGATTGACCCATTTGGGAGTGCCTTGCCCTGCGCTAGCGAGGCTCGAACAAACGACAAGTGTTACAGGTGAGCCGCGGCGAGCACAAAGAACAGCTACAATAGTCGCTTGGAGAAGTACACAAGTCTCCCGGATCGTTGACTCCAGGTTTGAATAACAAGGAAGTCCAGGGCAGCTCCACGTTCTACTGTCGATACACTGCCGCATCCATCGATACTGTCGCCCCCTTTCAATGATTACCAAACCAGCGATCGCAGTTACTTAACAATTTTGTAAAAGAATTCCATTAGAATGGATTGGGGACTATTTTTTACATTTTGTCATTTCATACAATTCTTATTTATTAGTATTGTAAAAAATGTTCGGAGATTAGTTCTAGCAAGTCTTAGGTAAAACCTCAGTGATTACGTAATATGTCGTCATATGATAAAAAAATAACAAATCAACTAAGGCGTGTGCTTTAAACCATACGATAGAAGCTAAAACAGCAACACGGCGAGATTAATAATATGAAATATAAATTATAAATAATAGCACATTATGAACATGGTCAAATGCTGAACATTTCCATCGCTTACAGTGTGCAGGTCCGATTTTTAGCTCCTGAGATATTTTAATCCATATCGTCCATTAAACTCTTTAATTTGGTTATGCGGTTCTATTGTATCCCAGTATTTTTCAATTATTTTTATTACATCTTTTCAGTTGATGTTGGTAAATAAATTTTCTACAACAAAACAGACCAAACAATATTTACCTATTGTCTGTCTTACTTATTCTTTCAAGCATTTGATCCACCTCCATTGAGTATTTTACACCATTGTTACTATCTGATTTTAGGTAGTTGAGTGTTGAATTGAGATATTTAGCCAAATCTTTCAGTTTCTCCTAGTACTACTAAGTGGAGCACCACTTTTATGTAACTTTATTAATCTATGTATTCTAGATGTATTCTAGTTAGGGTTAGTTTGTTTAATTTCGTTTAATAAGAAATTTTTAAAGTTAATAACAAAGTTTTATGGCATAAAATATAGACATCAATTCAAGGCCAATTCAATTTCCTTAATGATTTATAAATTACTTATTTAAATTAGTGATATTTACTAGCTTGTATTGTATCCAACATGTATGTATTAATGTTATAATGTAATGGATATGTTATACTGTTATATTATTATACATTTCCCATTAAGCCTATTATTATTTCTCTTCTTATTTTTTATATATTGATAATACTGTTGTCAAATTAAAATTTCAATGTTGTAATAATATTAGCAATTATACTATATATTAGCATAAACTCGTTATCATTTGGTTTTGGACACTATCTTTTTCCCTCTCCTACTCTCTAACACGATGTTGGGTTGAGATACAATTTTAAATAATAGCTCATTACAAAGAAGACAAAATGTTGAACATTTCCCTGTTTCACAGCATATAGGTCCAATTTTTGGTATCTGAAATATTTTAATCCATATATTCAACTAACTTCGTTATCATTTGATTTTTGGTACTATTAAATAGTTACTACTGTAAAACTGTATATAAATTATTAGATCGTTCTTTATTATTTTTACTTCATGTTTATTTTCATTTTTTTATTTTTTATTATTAACTGATGTTAATTATAAAGTAACTTATAATTTTTCTTTATACATTTTTTTTATTTATCTATTTTATTTTTTATTTTTTGACTATTTAATCAAACTATATTCTTGTTTATGTATCTCTGAGGCTCCTTAGCCCACATTTTTGTCTCTCTGTATTATTCTAAAGGGACTCGTTCCAGAATAAATAAAGCGTTATTATTATTTTTTTTTTTTCCTTTTCGCCTTCCTAACTGGGTGCCGCGTTAGGGAAATTATAGATACAATTTTCAAGATATAATTTTGAATTATAGCTTATTACAGAGAAGATGAAATGTTAATTTCTGAGATATTTTAAGCCATACGTAAAAAGATTTCAATTAGTCGACTGTAGCCGACTTTATCCGAGCGTCAAAATCTGACGGATCAATCTAATTCACTCTCCACAAAAAAGTGCAAAACGGGCCTAAAGAAGTTTTCACTTAAAAAAAACAACTTACTTTTAGATACATGAGGGTTTTAAAAATTTCACTCTTGTAAAACTCGTAGATAATTATTGACTGTAGAAGATATATTGATCAGTTTTAATGAAGTCGATTGGTGTTTTTAGTCTATGAAAATTCATAGTATAAATAAATAAATTATACTTATTCTTATATCTATTGTGCCGACGTTTCAGCCTAAGCTTCATACCATTATGAGGTCTCTTCACTTATTTTTACTTAGTTTTCTTATTGACTGAAAACCCCTATTTTAGATAATTATGATAAAACAACATAATTTATATATAAGTTTATATACATATTTAATATGGGTATATTTGAAAAATGTTAATAAAGCAATTGAATATACATTACATTATTACATATTTTTATCTAAATGTTTGAGAAAGGAAGATAAAACCCTCATTTCCCCGATACTTTAAATGTGCCGCTAAAAATGTGAAAACAAAATGTACCACTAAAACCCATGAAGGGTCTTGGGTTCAGTACTACTGTTTAGGAAAATCACTGTTCCAAGGCCAACACGGTTGTGAAGGGAGGGGATCGGGCCAGGATCACGCTCAACGCCAGGTTTTTCCCCCTTAATTAATTATACCACTAAGGGTACCCTTTGTATAGGCTAGGTGTGCCCCAGGAGGATCCTCCTACCTTAGGGTCGCCCCACGGCCAATGAAACAGAAAAAATAAATTTTCTGCCATGAGCCGGGATTCGAACCTGGGACCTTGGACCAAGAAAGCTTAGTGTCCTACCACTAAGCTACCCCGCTCCCAGAAAATAAGATAGTGACATAAAAATGGAAGGGTGCTCGTGAATGAACCATAGAATAATGAATAAATTACCTTTGAAGATAAAATAAAATTTCAATAATAGGAACATAGGGCGTGGTCAAATATTTGCCTACCAACTTCTAAGGCTTAGTCGACTTTTCCTATTCTTAATATATTTTACTAATTCATATAAATTGACTATTATTGATTTTTTTTTTCTTCTTCGACATGTTGGGGATGGAGCGCAACGATAATCTCGCTCCCTCTCTATTTTTATTTGAGGGAGAGAGGTTGCCCCCTGTTCCATCCAAATTCTGTTTTTTTTTTTGTTTTTTTTTTTGTTCTGTGTTGTTATTACATCTTTTAAGCGAAATAACATTTTTTTTTATTATTTATAAATTATAATTTAAATTGTATATACATTCGCCATCATTTGAATACCATTGTAGGTCAAATTTATGTGATTTTTTTTTCTCATTGACGTAACCATGCAATCACCAGTTTAGAACCATCTGACTTTTTAAGTATATATCCGATTGAAGTTAGCTAGCCATTTCGTTATTCGACGACCCATGCCAGCTATTGGCCGCTTGTAGAGCAGAGAGCCCAGAGGCCAGCTGAGGAGGTTCGTCGAAGCAGAAGTCCCGTCACGACAGAACTTTCGCCCTGGGAATCCGGCCCTTTATCAATACTGCTCACATCGTGCGCTCCGCTCCATTTGTCTCTTCTGAAGCTGAATATTCAACGCCCACGACTCCTCTTTCAGTTGTTATTTTCTCAGCTACTTTCTCGGTAATATGGATGATCCCATCTAGTAGTGTTTGCGAAGGAAGATCGGTATAAGCGAGTGTCTGATACCTTTAGGTCAAGCAGGTTATGGGTAGTGGCGTGTCTAGGGGTGGACCGCGTATCCTACTCTTTTGGACGATGGAAAACTAGGCTTAGCGTTTTCAGCGTTAAATGCTATATAAATCCTACTCCAGGTCACAGGCGGATCTGCAGGAGAGGGGAAGGAAGGAAAGAGCTTTCAGGTTGAAGCACCCCCAAACTGGTAAATTATAGCAATTACTTATGAAAAAATATGTATACAAATATTATTAATTGTGTAACTTCAAGAATATCTAATACACCATTTCATATAGTTCCTTTTCATACAAATCCATTAGTGCTCCAGGTCGCCTCAAATAACAAACAAAAATTTGGTTTCTAAACTATTTCAGATTTAAACATCATAGGATTCCACACCTAATTGAGCCAAGTTCAACTTAAGATTAACAATTTATGATCGATCCAAAGTATGCAGCTCGCCTAAAACTTCATGTTTAGATTTATATTATTATAACCTATAACTTTTTTTTATCTAAGAAAACGATTAGAAATGGGGCGTTTCCACCTAAAAATCGGTAAACTTTTTATGTTATATAAGCCAAAGAGCCCAACATTTTTGTAGGTAATATTTTTTCTCGATTTTGTGATCAAGCTATCTTACTATTCAAATTGAAAATAAATGTTTTTAGTACCTCATTAAATTAATTATTTTAATGAGAAAACGTCCCATTCCTGAGAATTTTCGTAGATAAAAAATTTGTAGGTTACGATAAGATAATACCTATCACAAAGTTTTAGACGCATGTTAATAATTTGATAAAAAGAAGGCATCCGTACCGCAGTATATATTATTTCTACATTATGTTAATTTAGATAGATAGATAGAAAATAACTTTATTCTGGGACACAGTCCCTTGAGAATAACAAAATAGAACAAAATTAAAAGATTACATCTGGCCAAAATAAAATCAATCGAAAAAAAGTAATAATGTAAAGAAAATATAAGGTAAACATTCCATATACAAAACAAACGAAACAATATACAAAACAAATAACAATATGACAAGACACTTAAAGCTATTTGCACTGATTTACACTTTTTTAATTAGGAACATATTATTATTTACACATTTTAATATATTAATAATTAAATTCAAACACTAATTATATTTAGCAGGAACTGCTCGATTCTATTTATCTTCGACTGTATAAAAAAAATTTGATTTTATCTATAATCTTTTTATTAATATACAATTTTCGTTTTTGTTAGTTAAAACTTGGTCTATTGTATATATATATATATATATATATATATATATATATATATATATATATATATATATATATATATATATATATATATATATATGATTATTTATTTTGAATTATTTTTTCAGTCGCTGAAGAAATTGAACCACGCCAACGTAGTCAAACTAAGAGAAGTAATCAGGGAAAATGATACGCTTTATTTTGTGTTCGAATATATGAAAGAAAACCTATATCAACTCATGAAAGACAGGTAATATTAAAAGAAACATTACAGTTTTTTATTACAAATAATTAATGAAAACATCTCAGGACTATTGTAAAAAGTCATGAAGAAATATTTCATGAAATTAAATCACTAATTACATTGATGAATTGTCTTCTGTGCAATCAGGTCATTGTGCACGTAGTGAACGTGAATGTTTGTTTGTTATATAAAAATGTTTGTGTTATTTTGATGATCTTGTTGTTTTTCTATCTATAAATAACGCCAAAATTCACAATAAGTATTCAAAAGTTTGGCTCCATCAAAAATGTAGTAAGTGGCTTTTTGCAACTATTTTTGTATAAACTCTAAGAAGAAAATGTTTTTGAAACATAAATAAAATTAAATATATAAATTGAAAAGTTCAATTCATTTAAAAAAAAAAAAAGATTAACCCTAAAGCAGTTTAAAATTTCTTTACTAATTCTTTCCGTTGTGTTATTTTTATGGTCGTATTCAAGATGTACCTATACATACACACCTTTAGATTTGGTCGGGGGATAATCCACTCCAGGAAAGAGAAAAAAGGCCCTAAACTCGTGGTGAAGAGTATACTTCCGAATCGAATATTTACGTACAGACTGCCTGCCCACTTTACAAAGAAATTTTATTAATCTCCTCTTTTTAAAAACAGTGCAAGCAATCATTATTATTGAAAACATTAACGTAGATCATACATAATTGCTGTTTATGTTCTATGTTTACTCTCTCTTCCTCTCCAACTTTTTTTTTTTTTTTGCTTTCGTCTATCTCCCCATTTTTGGGCGCGGTGGTCGAGCGAGTTTAGGCGCCTGCAAAATATTTATGTAATGAGTTCAAACCCCGTTCGCGAGAATAAAAAACAAAAAGATAAAGCGTAATTTATATTAAATGAAAACAAATAAATGCAGGCTCTACTTGATTGCTTGTACGAGTTCAATTATGGGGATGGTAACATTTCTGCAAAAGGTTGCCAACCATCCTGAAGGAAAGTGCCAGACGAGGCAGTCCAGTTATTGTAAACCATGTGTTCCCTGGATATAGTCAAGAGAACCAAACGTTCATGGCTGTCGTCTATACTAGCCCCAAACTCATGGCGGAAATCGAAAATTCAAGAGGTCTAAAAAAATATATATTTGTGACATTCAGGGGGGTGTTCTTGAGATACAATCAAACCTATTCTAACCAGAGTTGGAGGTTGAGGAATCAATCCATGGGTCCGCCATGAAATAAATTTCAACCCGTTTACTGATTCGAACCGGCATCGCTAGACCGGAAATTGTTGTTGACTCCCCCTAGTTCTTCGTTTTGAAAGTTCATCCAAATTGATCCCCACAAAAATATGGTTCCTTCCAGAAATTCATATCACCATGAAATGTGACTATTCCTATCTGATAATGAAGGTATTGTTCATTTAAAAATAGAAACATTCTTATTGAAAAATGACAAATATCTATAAGCTTTCGAAAAATTTCGCAGAGAGAAACTTTTCCCGGAGTCGGTGGTGAGGAACATGCTGTACCAAGTGCTGCAGGGCCTGGCCTTCATGCACCGCCACGGGTTCTTCCACCGGGACATGAAGCCGGAGAACCTCCTCTGCAGCGGCCCGGAGCTGGTCAAGATCGCCGACTTCGGCTTGGCCAGGGAGGTCAGGTCGAGGCCGCCCTACACGGACTACGTGTCTACCAGGTAATTGTCTTTTATCAGTGTTTTTGTGGAGTAAAGGTATGTTTACACACTTCACAAACTATGGGAAACACGAATACGAGGTTTAGATGTTATATAATGAGACTGATGCTGTAAAATATTTTATTTTTATTATATGAACATGGACTTATTATCATCTTCAACACAGACCCCTCCTCTATCTATACAACGCTTCCATTGTCTGAAGTAGTGCTGGAAGTCCCCTTCTACCAGCTCCTTCCGGACGCGTGAGGTCTGTTTTACTCAGTTTAAACTAATCCAAATCTTGTACTTTTTAATGCAGATTGACAAATCGTTATTCTTTATTTATAATCCTGAAACGAAGCACCAATTCATACTAAGCTTAGAGTAAATAAGAATTCATACTTTCTACAATATTTGCCATAATTAGTTAACCTTGGTTAGAAGCGCCTTTAAGTATTGCAATTCACCTCTCTTCCATCCCTTCTCTCACTCTCTCTCAAAATCGGTGCATCCCAGTCTTTCAAATTAATGTCTAATTCCGATTAATGTTACATATGATATTTTCGACTGCTGTTTGGCCATACCGACTATAACTATGACAGTCTTTTGTAGTAACTAATCTGATTGATAATTCAGTGAGAATTAAGAAATAATTATTTTACATTTGAGATCTAATAACTATCTTGAACTAATTATTGTAATATGTTTTACATTACTGTAAAAAAAGAGGAATATGAGTTAAATCAGAATTAAAGTAAACCCTAAGCACCAAATTATTTTTAAATGCTTTGGAGGTGTATTCTTAGTACGATAAAATTGACTCGAATTGCGTAAGAAGCCAGGTTTGAAACGAGAAAAAGCAAGCTTGTAATAGGCGAATAGATAGTTATTTCAAGCTCGATCAACAACATGTGAAAAATCATGGTTATTACGGATAGTTTTATTTTTCAATTAAAAAATTTAAGAATTTTGTGATTAAATTATTGAATACGGGAAGGCATTGTATGGCTCAAATGAATCCTGAAACAGGCCCGATTTTGGTATTTAAATAAATTATTAATGAAATTAAATGGAAAATCTAAATATCTGTCTTGTAAACCATCCATGAGTCTTAAATTCCGAAGAACTTGTTGTTTCAGACTTCTGAGAGTGTTTCATTCAAGTTAGTCGCTGATCCAGATGTTCAAAATAACGGATCTATTCGACCGGGATAAGCAAAATATTTTCAACGGATACCGCAGAACAGAATGTCGTAAAATTCTTTATCTAGATAGATCTATATCGACCAATGTAAGCCAATTCTTGAAATTCCATGGAAGAGAAAATAGCTCGTATCCTCTTATGACCTGTGCTCTCTCAGACTCAGGCTCTCAACAATGATCAGTACATTTTCAAAACCTACTTTCCTGATCTGAAGTGTTCCCACGCCAATGAAGTTGTGGGTCCTTAACAATTGGATAAAGATTTAGTTGAAATTGACAACAGAAAGTTGTCATAACAAGAATCTTGAGAATCATAATTCAATATTCAATTGGTATTAAAACAACTAACATAATTATTAACAAACAATAGAAGTTTTTTTCCTATCAGCAAATGGAAATCAAAATATTTTATTATGTTCAATTCCATTACGACAAATTTCTCTCCGTCTTGTTGTACTCGGAAGTTTTTTTCCGTTCGTCCAGTCTTGGTAGTTAAGCCCTAATAATCAATATTACCTCCTTAATTATGCATTATACATACACACGACAAGCCTGTTAACCAGACGTTATAACCTACGTCAACGTGATATATATATTTATCCGCTACTAAACATCACTGACTTTATATCATACATTAATGTTCCATGATCCGTGATCGGTATACATCATTAATTAAAAGGATAAATAATGTCAAATCACAACACTTTGTGTATCAACAGAATATCTCGATAATTAGCAATTTCTTTATTAACATTTTTCTAGGATAGATATAAATAAAGGCTGAATAAAAAATCGCAAAAAAACCAGTTGAATGTTTAATAAAATCTGATTCAGTTAAGGAACTCCTATTCATCATTACTTAAAAACTTTATTTTTTTATTTAATGAGGCGATTAATTAGGGATTAAGTAATCACGATGTAACTAGTAACAGTTTGTGTAACTGTGTGTATATATTAACAATAAGTAAATATTTATTTTTTTATTGTGTTCTAATGTTAAAATCGTTTGTGCTATCGGCCATAATAAGTTTCTCGACATTAAGAGGTTTATAATACTTAACACTGGTTGTATGGCCCTTTATATATTGTTGCAATGTTTATTGGATAGCCTAAGTTTCAACCTAGATTGCAGTTCGTCATCAATGCTTTCGTTCATCAATGCAGGAAAAAAACAAGGGAATTAAGATTCTCGTCATTCCGCATTCATTCAGTTCCCCTTGGCTCTTCCGTTGATATGTTTTCCTCTATTTCTTATGAGCTAATTTTATTTAATATTTTTGTCATAAATAACGTATTTAATAGTCATAAATAGCGTATTTAATATTTTATAATTGCTTCCTTACTACCGAAGGTAGGAAAGTATTGTATTCGTGCAAGAGGTTAAACAAAATTTCGTGCTCAGAATCGAAAATTTCCACTCTCGTTTTACGTTTCAGACATCAAGGATCAAATTTGATTCGGCGTCTGTCTGTCTGTGGTCAAATCGATGCGACGGGTATAGCAACTAATACATTTCATCCGATTTTCACGAAATTTTCAGGGATTGTGTTGGTTGGTATCTAGATGGTCTTTATAAATTATATATCGATATATCAAATTCCATGTAGCACTTCCGCTTGCGCACGAGTAAATGTATTTTCATAAATATGCCAATATTTCAGAAACGGCTCATTCGATTTATCTCGAAGTCGAAAGAAAGGCGTGTTTTAGTAAAATAGTGATTTTATAACGATTTTATTGAATTCCGTCATCTGCTTTCTCTTATTTATGTGCAAACGCGTTTTCCTTAATACCTATATCTCTAAAACCGCTAGTTCGATTTGCCTCAAATTTAGAGGGAAGTTGGAGATTAATTAACTGATAATTAAGTAAGTATCAAATTAAAAAAAAAAGACTTCCGCTTTAGGTTCAGTAAACGTATAATTTGAAAACGACTTGTTCAATTTGACCCAAACTTGAACGAAATGAGGAGATTAGTTCAGAAATTGTCTTGTACCAATTTCATTTGATTCCATTTAATAATTAAAATTAATATAAATAACTGTTAACAATATAATAAGGACTGTGAAATGTGGAAGGCGTTGGTTACATGAATATGGATTAAGTTAATACAATATGTTTATGATATTATAACATTTTAAGTTTTATTAAAAAATTTAATTTATAATGTATTGTTTGGTCGATTCCAAACGTTACTGCCATGAAACTTCATTGTCTTCACTTAGATTTCATGTAATGTTCATTAAATTTTAATAAATACAATAATAAATTATTGTAAAAATGTAAAACTTTTACTTTTTTTGGTTAGTAAAAAAAGTCTTATTTGTGATTTCGTTTTTTCTATTGAACTTGAACCAGCTTGCCATGATATAGATTCTCTCCTTAATCATCAAAGTTGTGTGAAATTCAATTTTTATATTCCAGCTAAAATTAGTTTAGATCTGACTAAGGGAAAATATTGGTCTCATTAACTACTAACAACCAAAAAGATTAATTTTTCCAATGGATTCTTTGTTCTATCCAATTCCCTATTGAAAACATACTTATTAATTATATATCGCTAATATTTGTGCAAAAGGTCATATGTAACAATTGTTCATTTTTATCCTAATGGTGCTAAAGGTGACATTTCCTAAAATGTAACTGATATAGGCAGCCTGGTACTATGAAAAATAGCAGAGGAAAATAAAATATGAGATTACACTAATAAATCATAAAAAATAATCAGTTTTTCTGTAAAACACTCGGATTTTCACTTATGGCCTCTTGCATTAACAGTGGCGATATACATCTTCAGTATGTACTGGGATATTTTTTTTTATTTTTATTCACGACTCATTAAATACGCATGCACATATGGAACTCTTCCGTATTTTAATACACGCTGATGAACAAAATCTTTGGATATCAAACCAGCGAATGTTAACGAGTTATGTATTTCCGCTAACGGCCTCTCCCGTAGGTTTTATTCTTGTACTAAAAAATATATACTTTGAAATATAGATATTGTCATCTAATGAAAACGGCGAGGAAGCTATACAGGCCTTACTTGGCAGACTTTTTTTAATTAATAAAAAAAGGAATAAATTTCTCATTGTTATTAATTAATTACTTTTAAACACCTAATAATGGTATGGAAATAATTTACTGTAATTATAATTTAAGATGAAGTTAGTCGAGATGTGCGGTCTGCAGTCGCACACATAATATATTAGAGTAAGGTTTATTGGATTGCCTAGGTTTCGACCTATGTTGTAGCTCTTCATCGGGGCTTTCGTTCAGCAATGCCGGAAGAATCAAGACGAACTGAATAAATGCGACCTGAAGGGAACCTCAGTTCCCTTGGTTTTTACTGGCAATACAGACTAAATACGCTATTCTAGACTAACAAAAATATTAAATAAAACTAACTCATAAGAAACAGAGGAAAACATATCAAAACTATAATTATTTTGTTTTCCTTGGTTAAAAATGTACAAACATTAGGTAGTTGTATTCAGAGCGACATATTGCTGAATCGCATTCATTGAAGATTTGAAACAGTTACTGTAACATGTATCAGTAACGTGTTGCCACAGATTGTAATCAGGTACCGGACTGCTTCCAAGAGTGAGAGGAAATCCGCCTGAAGTTCGTATGCTAGAAAACCTTGAAGATCCGTTAGCTATAATACCTTAGTGAAATGCTAGTCCAGTAAAATCACTATCAAGGTTAGCTATCAAACATTTTCATAATTGTTTTTGATGTGAAATTCCATCGATTATCTCCCATTTAAATTTCGTTATACAAAAGAAAAAAAATAAGGAATTTTCCTCTATCGAATTTCTTGGATATGCTTTGCTTGCATTTTAATCCATAATGCATCGGCCTATGGAATCAGCGTTTTCTGTAGATACCGGGGAACTTAGAGAACAGAAAGTTGAATTACATTTTTTCCCAAGTAAACGATAATTTTTTAGTAGCTTTTACAATCTCTTTCGAAACACGTATAGCCTCTTTTAAATAGCTGATTATTTACACCCATTACTGAATAACTATTACGAAGTAACAAAAATAAGGATGCCCAGCTACGGATAGGTAGAAGACAAGGTAATCAACCCTCCACTTTACGCAATATAGGTGAACATTTTTTGTAGACATAAACTTTGCTAACTAAATACCAGTTTTTTAAATCACTGAATACGAAAGAGTCGTTTGCTGGTAGAAGTATTACTTAAATCTTGTTGTGTTTTTCTCAAAATTTTTACTTTGATTTACACACATAATCCTCCATATTGTTTGTTGTTCTGTTTTTTCGTTCGAGAAGAGCATATGCAAAATTGAAATCAATAAAATTTTCTGTAACATGAAACTTATTTCTCTACGATTAACTATTAAGCCTCTAAAGCTTCCTGTAAAATAGTTCGATTTCCCCAAAGTGGCATAGACAAAATAAAATAATGAATATTTATACTTAGAGATGGACGTTTATCAAAATTATAGGTTTACTAGGGCTTTTCGGGTATTCGACTTCAAAGAAAGAGGCAAAGAATATAAAATTTATGGGCCCTTCTCGCTGTTGTTTTGCTATAATAGGAATACTTGTTCCAATATACTAAAAATAAATGTTCTTTTCGTGTATTTTATGAAGTTTGATTGCATATAAAGTTATTTAAAGAGGAAAAATAAATGTAAGATTTTTTTCATGGAAATAGAAGTCATTTTTAGGAATTTGTCACCGTTGGCAGTAAGCTCTGGAATTGTTGATCGTTGATAAACATTTCACTGTCATAAAATAACGGACAGTTATGTTTATTTTCAGTTTGAATACATTGGTCATCTCTAGTGTTGCCCAAAATCGGTCTTGGTCTTGCATTTTTCAAGACCAAGACCAAGGTCGCCAAACTGTTGCAAGACCAACACCAGGACTAGTAAAACAAATTTATTTTTTAAATAAAAATTAAGGCAAAATAGTTAGTTATACTCGACGATCTTAGTTACTATATGTTAATAATTGGTATAAGCAATATACTTTTGCATTTAACTCCTCTAATTTTTCATTCGGACTTAATTACGTTTCTCCTATCTAAAAAATTACAGTAATATATCTATAGTTATAAGCTAATAAATAACTGCAAGACTGTTGCGAGACCCTTGCGCAAGACCAAGACCAAGCCAACACTGAGTTTGCAAGACCAACTCACCATTAAGCAACACTAGTCATCTCGAACAAACAATTGTTTGAGAGATTAAAAAAAAATCTTAGCCCATGAAGAGTTTTGAGTTCATTACTTTGAATTACTTTCATTCATTGTTTGAAGGGTAACGGTAATGCAGGAATGTGATCGGGTCTGGATCACGCTTTACTGCTAGGTTTTCCTTCTTAATCAATTATTTAATTAAGAATATCCACTTTATAGGGGCTGTTTGTACCCCAGAAAGTTCTCTAGACGGCTGATGAAAAATTACTTAACCTCATCCTTATTTGAACCCTGAACCTAGAGCACAGCAGCCCAGTGCCTAGCTCACTGACCTTCTCCGCTCCATGTTTACGAGATATACTTGAAAAAAAAAACACATCGGAAATAGGTTATTTAAAAAAAAAAAAAAATAGAAAAAAGATTTCTGTTAACGAATACGGATTCGGATTCGTGGTCAGCCATCTGAAAAACTGGCATATATCAAAATTTAAGAATATAAAAAACTTTCCCCTATTTTTCCTTCTCACATGACACAATATGATTTATAAAATACAATAACCGGTTATTTTGAAGTAACCGCCGTTCCTGTTTCATACAACCCTTCTCCGAAGGCCGCCACTCCATCCAGCCTGCGTAGTAGCTCCCTGTAAGTAATCGATATCTACTCTAGTTCTCTGCTACCGCTAGGTCGGTGCGGATATTTTCTTAAAAGTTGTAAATTATGTTATTTCAAATATTTTAAATTATTTACGTTGTATTTTATGTTAAAATGTATCTTATTATTCAATAATATAACCAATAATTAGGCATTTTAAAACCTTGTGATATTTAATTAATTGATTTGTTGATTTTTACTTGTATTACTCAAAACAATAAATTATCAAATAGCAATTCGATTATATCTTCAAACGAACGAATCCAATAAGCTGTGATAGTGAACCCAATTTTACCTTCGGTGTAACCTCCCCGTAATGTTAGGAGATCATGGGACTGTTATCAGTATTATTATATTAATTTGTGAAAGGAAAATGTTGTTTTAATGATTTTATTTTTTTTTATGTATTAAAAATATAAAACTCAACCGGAGAGGCTTAAATGGCTTCATTGAGAAGACTGTACCACTTTTCCAGAATTCACAAAGTTTGTTATGGTCTGATACTTGAACTTAATCAGCCAGCTACATGGTCAGTCCATAGAACATTTCATACTTCTGGTATCTGGCTCAAGAAGAGAAAAGAGGACCAATCTGACAAACCGAAATACCCAGGATTACAACCTTCCAAATTTAAACAAAAGGAGGTTGTCGAGGTATGGAAGAATATGACTATGAATGAACTTGCTTCAGCACTTAAAAAGGATGTTAATTATATTTTGGACATAATGGAATTTGTTGACAACTCTGTTGACTACAGAAAGGGTCATCATGTTATTGATAACTGGAAAGTGATCGAAGAAGTTATTAAAAAGGCTGGTAAGAGATTTAAAATTATTAACAAACCTGAAATCAAAGAAGAAGAAGAAATAAAAGATTTAACTCGTAGAGATCCATCAGAATACCAAGACCCACGGCCTCGACCTGCAGTTGTGACAATTATGGGACATGTTGACCACGGTAAAACTACTTTATTAGACACTTTGAGAAATTCTTCTGTTGTGGAATCTGAATTTGGTGGGATTACTCAACATATAGGTGCTTTTTCTGTTACTGTTAATAATAGGGACAGAATTACATTCCTTGATACTCCTGGTCATGCTGCCTTTTGTTCAATGCGAAACAGGGGTGCACAATGCACTGACATAGTAGTATTAGTTGTTGCAGCTGATGATGGTGTAATGGAGCAAACCATTGAATCTATTAACATGGCCAAACAAGCTAATGTTCCTATCATTGTTGCTATAAATAAAATTGATAAACCAATTGCCGATATTGATCGAACGAAAAAAATGCTTTTACAGCACGGACTTCAAATTGAAGATTATGGTGGCGATATTCAGGCTGTTGCAATTTCAGCTCTAAAAGGGACCAATATAGAAATGTTAATGGAAGCTATTTCATTACAAGCAGAAATTATGGACCTGAAATCTGATTATAGTGGGCCTGTAGAAGGAGTTGTCATAGAAAGCACTTCGGACCCCTACCGTGGGAAACTGAGTACTCTATTAGTTCAGTGTGGCACATTAAACAAAGGTGCAATTTTGGTTGCTGGTACATCATGGTGCAGAGTGAGGGTTATGTTCAATGATAATGGTGAAACCATACAAAAAGCCAGCCCTTCCACTCCTGTTCAGGTTTTAGGGTGGAAAGAATTACCATCAGCTGGTGATGTAACTATTCAAGTACCATCTGAAAAAAAAGCAGCCGAAATCGTTGATTGGAGAAAGAAGCAAGAACTTTATGAAAAAATGAAAGAAGATCAGGTAGTGATAGATAAAAAAATGGAAGAACATAATGAACAGTATCGAAAGCAACTTGAAGAAAAAAGGAAATTAGGTTATTTCAAATTGAGAAGGAAAGGTCCTAGAGAAAAAGAATATATTGATACTGACACAGGGCCGAAGCTTTGTGTAGTTATCAAAGGTGATGTTGATGGCTCAGTTGAAGCCATTTTAGATGTTCTTGAAACCTATGAAAATCCCAAATGTAAATTGGATGTTGTTCACTATGGAGTTGGCCCTGTTACAAAGAATGATGTTATATTAGCCAAAACATTTAATGGGATTGTATACGCATTTAATACTGGTATTTTACCAGATACCAAAGAAGAGATTAAATCACAACCAGTCGTAATAAAAAATTTCAATGTGATATATAAGCTGATAGATGATCTCAAGTCTGAAATGGGAAAACTTCTTCCTATGCTAGATGAAGAAGAAGAAGTTGGTATGGCTAATGTTTTACAAGAATTTCTTATTAATGAAGGAAAACATAAAGTTCCTGTTGCTGGATCTAGATGTATAAAAGGCAAATTGTCTAAATCTGCACTTTTTAAACTGGTCAGAAATGATGAGATTTTATTCCGAGGATCAGTAACTTCATTGAAACATTTTAAAGATGAGGTGGAGTCCATTAAAAAGGATATGGAATGTGGTATTAGGCTTTCTGACCAGTCTATTAATGTTCAACCTGGTGATACTATTATCTGCTACAAAATAAAGAAGGTGCCTCAAACAATTGACTGGGATCCAGGATTTTAACTGTTTTTTTATTAGTATTTTGTACTTGTAATGTAAAGAAACTCTAGTTATGAATAAACTATTGTTGTTGTTATGTTTTTTTAAAAATTATTTTATTTATTTTTCCCTAGTGAAATTAGACATGTTATCTTGTAAAAGTTCTCGTAGTTCAATTTTTTTTTATGTTATTAAGTATATGGTGAATACAAAAAATCCAATTTTTCGACACAAATCCTTATGGATTCGCCTTAGTGCTCGAAAAACCATTATAATTTTTCTTTGGTTTATGCTAGATATCTCTTTTTTATAGCTAAATAATGGTTGTATCCAATCTCAAACAGCTTAAATTTTTTTCTAAATCCAACAGGAAGCAAACTTCCGAGCTTTCAAAATGACCAAAGTTTTGAAAATTTGCAAATACATGATAATTTTTTGTTTTTAGCTAACAATCTGTTTCTGTAAGTGACATAGCTCAAACATGTATGATTAAATATTAAATTATACAAACATTTGTTATGCTTTTAAACGAAAGGTATTTTTTTTAAATAACTAAAAATCCCTAAAAATAAATGGTTTTGTAGTTTAAAAAAATTCTTATATACTTATATTATTAATATCGATCAAAAACAATTGCTGTTTTTCTTGCAAATTTTAAAATAAATTTTGATATGGAGATGGTTGATCGTATATTCTAATTTCAGAAGTAGCTAGTCTGTAATCAGAAGATGTTTTAAAAAGTATATTAGCAGAGTGAGGAAGAAACAATCAAGTGCCCTTCTGAGTTTTTTTTTTTTTTTTTGTTTGTCCATGTTCATACATCATCTTAAGATTGCTTCTTATTGCCAGCAATAATTTTCCCATATAATGGTTGACCCAATGTTATGAAACTTTTTTTTTCATAATGACTTACATTTATGGCTAGCAATAATAAAATATCTGGTGTGTCCATTCACACGACTTTCCTACCTATTTCAGAAAAGTTTTTATATCTTTACATATATTCATGAATAAACGAAAAAGAATTGAACTAGATAAATTTTCCTGAAAATTGATCAAACATAAGATTTGAGTACGATTTATTTGATGAATTAAAGCAATGTAAACCGGCTTAAGGGAGATCAGTGTAAAAATTTCAATGCTTCCTAATATCACCAATCAAAAATATCTAATATGATCAAAAACTTTTTGCCATAGCTTAGTATTGTCAAACAATAATTTATGTTAAAGTAATCTTACATTTGAAATTGAATAGCTGTAACGTCGTTAATAGTTGTCCAAAATGAACGATTTTTATATGGCTTTGTAGGGAATTTCATTACCTTTCAAACGACAGGCTATACGGCATTTGTTCCCAGACAGACATTCCAATGGCTAAAAATGTGTTTTTCGGACTCAGGGGGTCCTGAAACATATAGATCCGTCGGAAATTTTACCAGATTACAATACTATCCTTAACTAGTATAGGTAGGAAAGTAATAAGATGATGTTATATGATATATAATCACTACGAGGAAAATTGATACAAGCAATCAAATCTTTTGAGCCAGCGAATCTTAGTCCACTAGTGACCTCCTCCATAAAGTTATTCCATTCTGGAACATTTACAGCTTTTAACTATTTAACAAGATTTCAAACAAACTTTATTTTAAGCGTGTGGTATTATTTCTTCAGTATTCATTTCAAACCTTTATTGACCATGGAATCACTCCAAGGCTATGAGTATTTTTAAATTAGGACCCATATGATTTCAAGAAGCAGCCCATTAGGGTGACTAAAACTTACATGTTATCACAGTAGCCAAAATTCTCCCATTTTTTCTATTTTGCTGAACATTTCTTTAATGCAAGAAGTGTCCAGGTATATTTGTAATATAAGCTAAGCCTTGATGAAAAAATGGATCCTGTTATAGTTATGTATTTATATTGTTATAGACCTTGTTGAATATCGAAGGTTTATATATCCTGTGTTCACCGTTCTGGTAAATTCTTTAAAATTAAAAATGGAACTATAGAAATAAATAATTGGCTAAAAATAAAAAAATATGCGTATTTTTTTTGCAACTTTACAAAACTGGCAGTTTTGAAAGCTTGCTTGCTGTTGGGTTTAGAAAAAAAAAATTTACACAATTTCAAACTGTTTAAGATTGGATATAACCATTATTTTGTTATAAAAAGGAGATATCTAGAAAAAACAGGAAACTTATTTTTGTGCTAATTTGACTGAGCTATAGCCTTACTTGAGAAAACAGAGAGCGTTTATAAATTTATTCAAATAATAACTGTTTTATGAGCAAGAAAAAATGTAAAAGCTTGAAAAATTTCCTGTAAATATGGTAAATCAGCTGATAAAATAATCATGTTCATTGCCTCTATTTAAGATTTTTTAAAATTAATCAGCTATTTTTAACATTTGGAATAAACAGGTAATAATTTCCACTATTATGTTATTTTATATATATATATATATATATTTTTTATTCTGTTTCTCAGAATTAATTTTTGTATTAAGATATGGTAAGTGATAGCTCATTGAAAGTAAAACATAACTAACAAACATTTTAACTTTTTAAAATTTATCATTGTGGTTAATTACCATATTTTACAACAGAGTGCCTCATACGTAACTGTACCTGAAATGAATAATTTGCTATTTCAGTTTACGACAAATATGAGTGGGTTCACTTATTGGATTGCAATTGTTAACTTTTATGTTGTGTATGAATGGAGGTCAGAAACAAAAGTGTCAATGTGAAGATTTCTACAATAGCCCGCCAGATTTAATCCAACTTTTAAAAGTTTAAAAAGAAAACAAAAACCTTCCTTGAAAGTTATAATTTTCAACTTGACATCTTATTCAAGAATACTATAAATATATTATATTATTCATGTCAACAGCATATTATGAAAACCTCTTTGATATTTGATCAATCAAACAATAACTAGATTCTGGGTTAATATATTTGAGAATGAATTCATTATTTTTATTTCTCTCATTTATTTTTTTTTCTTCGCTAACAATTGTATATTTTCACAAGAAGAATTTCTTTTTTATTGAAATTACTAATTGAATTTAAGCATGGTCTTTTCAACATATGGGTTATGTTTTTTTTTTGTTTTTTTTAAGTATATGTATGTTTTATTTAAAAATCTTAATCCCAGAATAAAGTTCTTTATTTTTATCTATCTTTATATTTATTTTCCACACTAATATGTACTTTTATGAATGTATAAAGATTTTATATTAGTTCTTTAAAAATATTTAATTATAATTACAATCACTAGTGTACAGGATTGAAAATATTTCATATTTTTATATTCAATAATTAGCATTTATATCAATGATATTGTTTCTTCTTGCTTTCATATGGCATATTTCATATTAATACTCCACTTCTTATTATGCAAACAGATGGTACAGAGCTCCTGAGGTCCTCCTTCATTCCACAACATATTCCTGTCCTATCGACATCTGGGCTGTCGGTTGTATTATGGCTGAGCTGTACACTTTCCGCCCACTTTTTCCTGGTAATTCAGAGATTGACCAAATTTTCAAAATATGTTCAGTCCTCGGTACACCAGATAAGGTAATGTAATATACTTATCTAAAATAAAGAATAATTCTATAAGGATATTTGCAATGAGATATAATTTTATTTTTCTATGAATTATCCATACCTCTGTTTAAGCCTAATGATCCCTTATGTTTAAAAATTGAATTCTTATAAAATTAAAAATGAAATAATAACTAATTTAAATATTTATGAAATATTTTATAATATTTATTATAAATTTCTCTAATTTTCTAGAGAGAATGGTATGAAGGTCATCAGCTTGCTGCCAACATGAATTTTAAGTTTCCTCAGTTTAAAAGAACACCTCTTTCAACGCTAATCACAAACGCGTCACAAGAGGGGATAACGCTCATGGAAGCTATGCTTCATTGGAACCCATCAAAAAGACCAACAGCTCAACATTGCCTAAGGTAAATTGTCTACTTTGTATTTTAAAAACTACCCAGGGGTTGGTTCATTAGCATTCTGAAGGGGAGATAGGTTGGGCTGAACTCCCCCTCTTAAATAATAGACAATTGATTTTTTTATTTGTGTCCATTTTTATTGCTATCAGTGATCTGACGCAAGTAATTAAATAATTACAATATATTCTCTTTAGTAAGTTGTAAGAAATGTACTTCAGCATCTAAATATAGGCATCTATCAAGAAAAATATAAAAATGTTATTTAAAGGTATTGTTAAAAGGATTTTGTTCTGATTTCAGACAGCCCTACTTCCAAGTTGGTCAAAGGTTGAGCGGGGTTATTCTAGATGATAGATTGTCATCCTTGGAAAGGTTATCTTCTAGAAATCATTTCCATCAAAACCTTTCGGCAAGACCTGTAGCATATGTTCCGCCACAAGCAGCTCTTGGTGAGAGAGATTTCAGCGAGCTTCTGGGGTAAAATATAATTTCCATCTTAAATGTGTATTTAACATTTATTTGCTTATATACAATAATTTTTTAAACCTTAATTAATTAATATTGCACCATAAAATAACCCTTAATGAAATAATGTCTCAAAGTTCTATGGATGTAATGTTTTTTTAAAATTTCGGTGTATCCAATATAAACAGAAATTTTTCAAGTACAAATTTCTTTATTGTTGAGCTCTTATTTTTGCAATAAATTAGATTATAGTTCTCTTTGTGAATTTTTGAATTTTATTTTTTTAATGTGAACAAAAAAAATTAAATAGTTTGCTATAAATTTTATGGTTAAAATTCTAAATCATCTACATAAAGTAGAAGTTTAGCTGTTTTTTAAGTACATACATTTACTTTTATTATATCTTAAAAGATAATTATTTTCAGAAAATCTGAACAAAAAAAAATTGTATGCACTTTCATATTACTTTTCAAGAACAAAGTGGTTGAATTTATAACTAAATAATTCAGTTATAAAGTCCATGGAATTTAACTTGAGAACCAGAAGAACCATTAACTATTTTATTGAAATTACATTCCCACAATTTAAAATCAATGCATCAAAATCTGCATGAGACTACCAATAAATTTGATTTTAGAAAATTGGTTATTATTAAACCAAAGAGTTCTTGCGATTGTTCCATGAGACAAAATAACATACAGACGTTTTCTGCTTACAAACTTAAAATTAAAATAAAAATTTGAATAAATTGAAAACATAAATTTTGAAGCTCATTTGCTTTAGGAATTTCTGCACTGATAATAAAGTAACCATATAAATTTTACATTTAAATAAATTAACACAAAATAAATCACATATATACATTAAATTTATATTGAATATTTTACTCATTAATTTTTGTTGGTAGCTGATAAACTGCAATGATTTTTTGTTTCTATTGTAGGCCAAAAATTGTATCTGATTTGAAAGAAAATCATGGATGGTTTGAAGAAAATCAAAAAAAGAGAGTCAGTGCAAAGCAGCATTACTTAGCAACCTCTCGGTACATTGTTGGACAATCAACCAACTTAGTTAATAGGTTAATACGCAATAAGTATTATAGTTTTTTTTTGTTATTGATTTTATTGTCAAGTATTAACTTGTTTTTTTTTATGTTTCAGTGAGCAGAATCAAAAAAAGCCTCTTTCGACTAGACAAGATTTTTATCCTAGTACTAAACTTTACGCATCGGCTAATAGCTTGAATACGTCAGGCAGGTCATCAAGACTGCATGGTCGGACTGATTGGGCTGCCAAGTAAGTTAAATTAAAAGTGATTGAGTAAATTTTTTCCATTTTTTTCTGTGTTAAATTATCTTTTCCCCTCATACAATTAAGTAAAGAAAAGATTTAACTATGAAACTATACAATTTAAGGGTTTCTTGAAATAATGATATAGCACCATCCTGGTTGAATTTTGGCATTGTAAATATAAATATTCTACAGCAAAAAAATTATTAGAAGAAAGTTGGTTCTGCTTTTCAGTCAAAATACAAAGTAAAAATTAATAAATAACATTTATTTTTATTTTTTCCAACGTTCCGGCCCTAGATTCAGCCTTCATCAGGGCTGTGTTTTCAAAAAATTATTATTTTATATGTACCAGAAATTCATTGCTCCAATTATTAGTTCTTATGTTATTCGATCCTTGAGTGTGGAACAACCTCTTTGTTTCCTAAAATGACTGCATTCAATAAACTGGAAAGCAATAGCACTAGATACACAGAGGTGAAGAAGGCCATTTCAGGCGGCCAAAGACCCTCAAGGTCTGTAAAGCTAACATAAAAAAAATAATATTAAAAATTAGCTTTCAAAAACTTTACTAAGTTTTTATTCCTCATTTTTATTTATCTCTCTTACATTTAAAAAAAGTCTGTACAATGTAAGTGTAATTAATAATTATAAATTTTACAGTCACTCCAAATTTTGTTTTTGATATTATTAAAATTTTAGAATATAGTACTTCTTAAGTAAATTTATTACTATTTTAATTTTTTTGTAATTATGCTCATAAATATTCAATTTAAAAAAAAATATGTCATATCTTGACTATTATTACATTGCAAATTTTATGGTATATTTAATCTCAACTTCAACTTGTTTCAGATACCTCAAATGATGCGAACCACACAAAATAATCAGAGGGATTTGTGTATATACAGTATTGGTTGAGGAGGAAGTGTTTTTAATGATTTTTAATTCTAATATCTTTTTGTAACTAAAAAAAAATCTACCTGTGATAAATATTAGTAATTTTTTTGTGTAAAAGTGCGACTGTATTACAAATGAGAGTATTTTGAAACTTCAGATAAAAAATATCAAAGTTTAACGTAATTTGTAAGATAAAGCTGTATCATACTGAAGAATATTTCTTTAATAAAGCTGAATTTTTCCATCTAATAATGTTTGTGTTTTATATACTGATATTCCTTTATGTTATAGATGATATTCCTATGAATTTATTTGTACTGTGGTGTTTAGTATATTCCGGTTGATACTTTTTTGAAGCGGTTAGTTTTACAATAGGGTTGATTCAGCCTCGTGGCAATAACTGAGTAGCTACTAGATAGATAGATAGAAAGTAAACTTTATTCTGGGACAAAGTCCCTTATAAATAACAGATATGAACAAAAAAATAAAAACTACATCTGGCCAAAAATTACATTAATCAATATTAAAGAATATATACAGTATCTTCAGTGAAGTTAAATTAAAAAAAGTAAAAATAAAATAAAATTTTGAGAAAAAACGAAATAAAAAAAATTAAGTACCTTTTTAAAATGGATGATAAATATTCAGGACGCAGTTTTTTAAAAAGAGTTTTAATTTTTTATTTGTGCCAACATTTCAACCCAAACATTTGGGTCATCTTCAGAGCTGAAAAATTTTAAAATACAATCAAAGGTATAATATTATACGACCGATAATGGTAAATAATAAGCTATATTGATTTGATGGTACATGAATCTTAACTATTATTACAATACACAAGTTACAATTCTCCTTTCCGACCAAATCATCTATCTCCCCACAAAATGAGACCCCACACCATCTCTCACAATCAACACTTAAAACACCTCGATACTAAACAAATTAAAATCTCTACCTATAGAAATCTCATCTCTTATAATTCCACTGCTCCCCAGTGCTATGGATTACCGAAAAGCCATAAACCAGGCAATCCTCTCCAACCTATTATTTCCATCATTAACTCTCCATCTTCTAAACTCAGTAAATTTCTTCTCCCTACCATCCAGTTTCTCAGTCAAAACAATCCATATGACATTAAAAATTCCTTCCACCTATTAGATCAACTACAATCCTTGAACATACCACCATATTTCATTTTGGCCTCCTTTGATGCAGAAAGTCTTTTCACCAATATCCCCACAGACCGTAATAATTGAAGAAAATTGGTTCACCATAGAACCACACACTTCCCTCAATCAATCCTCATTCCTCCAATCCCTCTACCTATGTGTACATAACAAATTTTTTCATCAAACTTCCGGCTTGGTGATGGGTAATTGCCTTGCCCCAGAACTCTCTAGTATTGTTCTTAACAACCTAATTGACTCGATACTACCTAAATTACCCAATGTTATTTTTTCATTAAAAAATATATCAACAACCTTTTATTAATCCTCAACCCCCCCCTGCTATTCTAAACATACTTTCTACATTCAACTCATACCACCCTCGACTCCGTTTTACCATTGAAATAGAATAAAATAATTCCCTCCCATTTCTTGATCCCCTCATTTTCAGAAATAATGATAATGGGTATAATGGGTATCCACCAATTGGTACACCAAACCTACCTACTCCGACCGTCTCCTAAATTATTTTTCCCTACACCCTTACCACCAAAAAATCAGTGTAGCTAAAAACCTGATACACCGCAGACTAACATTAACTGACCAGCAATTCCATGACCATAATCTAACCAAACTTCACAACATCCTGAAATCCAATGCCTTTCCTGATCACATTATAAAAAACCTAATTAAAAATCAATCCAAACCTCATCTTTACTATTCTCCTACAAACTGCTCTCAATTTCCCACCACGATTCGCCAATACAGATCCATTCCATATATCCCAGTCCTATCTCAAAAAAACCTAACTTCCAAATCCCCCATCTACAAATTGTTTTATAAAATAACAGTAAATTAAGAAATCTCTATACCAAACTCAAAGATCCTGTTCCACTCCTACAAAAATCAAATATTGTATACCATTTCACATGCTCTAGCCCAAACTGCAATTCTTCCTGTATAGGAGAAATCACAAACAATAAAAAAAAACCGGATATATCAACACAAATACAGCATCTCCACATGAAACCCGTTCGCCTCGAAATTTGCAGAACACACCATAATCCTCAATCACACATTTGATTTTGAAAACCCAACCATACTTGCCACAGTTCCCAATCACTAAAAACAACAACTTTCTGAAGCTATATTCATCAATTTGGAAAAAAATAACCCGGTAAACCACAAAGTAGATAAAGAAAAGATCTGTAACACATATTTGAATATTTTTCGCCTCTTAAAACAATAGTCTATAATCATTCAAAATATTTTTTCATTTTCCCGTCAACTTACATAGGTAATTACTCCTACGTTTATTATATATACATATACATATAATGCCCATTCTCAATATAAATATATAATATAAACAGTCACAGATATGTTTATACTTATATTATTAAAACTATGTAATCCTTAATATAATACATACTTCTATTATGATTAATATTGTTATATTTAAAATACTGTATAATATATTGTCCTACGTATGTTTTCAATCCATTACAATTGTCATTATTATAAATATTATTTGGCTAACCATTGTATACCTTTAATCAAACTATGTTATATTTATATTGATTGGCACCTCTTGCTTATGTTCATTTCATTACTAGCCAATATTCACAATTTTGTAACCATAAGAAACAACGCAAATCTTGTACTCATCTAAAATATTTAGTCAGCAAATTATTTACATTCTACTAACAGAAATGTTACCTCCCTCCCTCTGACTATGTTTACCTACCTTTTGCTATCTGAAAAAGGACAACTGGGAAATCCTCTCCCGACCTTTCCACTTACCTACCAAATGTGTCAGTACTTGAAAGCATTCAGTGCTCGAACCACGGTTAGTAACAGAAAATATTACAAATTTTACTACATAGATTATATATATTTTTTTTTATTTCTTTTTTTTTACATTTTTCATTTTTAATATTGTGTATTGTAATAATAGTTAAAATTCATGTACCATCAAATCACTATAGTTTATTATTTACCATTATCGGTCGTACAATATTATATCTCTGATTGTATTTTAAAATTTTCAGCACTGAAGATGACCCACATGTTTGGGTTGAAACATTGGCGCAAATAAAATTTTTTTTTTTAAAGACTTTCCTGAATATTTATCATCCATGATATGTAGAACAGTCGACTAGCTTCCTTCAATATTAAAAAAAAAATGATTTAATGTTTAAAACAATCTATTCCTGGTAACATAGCCAAAAGATTCAAAAACTTTGTCGACCTAAAATGTATTGACCGATTTTATTACAAAAACATGAAATACTCAATAAAATTTTGAATTTAGTATTTTTCTATGTTGAAAAACTACCCCCTGATAAACAGCAATTTAAATTGTATTCCTGCTTATTATTTATAGTATTTATTTTTAGCTCTATTACTATTATATTATTGATTAAATAATAAGTATACACGTATTTTTGTTTTTCAAAATAATGACAATTAAGAGTCAATGCAAACTTTCTTTGAGTATTGCAAGATTAATGTTGTTGCTTTTTCAATAGAAGAGGAGAAAAATTCAATATTTAGTGTTTAAATTTAGTAGAACGTGTTCCATTAGATAGGGTGAGATGAGAGGAATGGGGCACACTCCAGGAGTGGATTGCACACTGGAAAATATTTAAAAAAACTCATATGGTCCTATCTTTTTTTTTTTTTTTTTTAATCTTCTCAAATCTATAATCAGGTTTCCAGACAACTCCCGGTGCTGTGCACACACGTTAGCCCATTTTGCCACCCCACCCCCTTATATGGTCCTACCTGATTTTAATTGATTTAAATTTTATTGGCTAATTACAAATAAACATAATTTCATTAATTTATTAGAATTTCAGTTATTGAATCTCCCTTTAAAAAAAAAATCCTTGAAATCGGACCATCAGTAGTAAAGATGAAAATAGGCGACCATCAAGCTGGATTCAGAAAAGGAAGCAGCATGCTAGGACTTTTCATAGAAATCTTCATCCTAAAAAAAGTACTAAAAAAAAATTGGAAGTAGCTCAGGACATCAACGCCCTATTAGTCAATTTCAAATTCTATGATTCTGTGGACAGGAACTGTCTTTGAAAAATCATGACGGAACTGGGAGTTACCGGTAAGTTGGTGAATTGAAGAAAGGTATCTGCAAATGACCCTAAATGTAGTCCTAATACAAGGAGGAGTTTCTGAAGCCTTCAAAGCTTACACGGGGTTACAATATGGAGATGAACTATCACCAATGTTGTTCAACTATTTTGATACCAGTGTTGAAACAAAATTTTGATGATAACAACATCGATAGAAAATGGAGGGGTCCATGTCGTAATGAATCATAAAATCCTTGGATAAGATAATGATATAGCTGTCCTAGGAAGTAATCAAGAAGACATTGAGAAACTGGCTAAAATTCAGATAGGAGAGGCAGAGCAGACCTGCCTACAAATAAATGAAGACAAAACAAAATATATGGTAATAAGTCGAAAATTCCATCCCAATTACAGGATTTGCATATAAGGAAAATCATTCCCAAGAGTAGAAAGATTCAAATACCTTGGTTCCACAATAACCTCATTCAATGACCAATGATCAGAAATATACCAGTATATAACTAGTGCAAACAGAGTTTTCTTTTCCCTTTGGAAGTATCGAGCCCCGAAAAATCTCAAGAAATCTCATATTAGGGGTGTATAATGCTATGGTAAAATCAGTTCTAATTTACTAATAACACTAACGACCAGCATAGAAAAAAGAATTGAAAAATTTGAAAGAAAATTCTTTACATGATAGCTGGAGCAATCTGGGATCAGAGTACTAACACGGGGAGAACAAAGACCAATTAAGAACTGATTACAGAAACTGGTCAATCAATACTCCATGATATGAAGGCACAGAGGTTAAGTTGGGCGGGGAATGTAGCTCATAACAATCCAACTGGAAGCCTCTATGTAACAATCAATGCCTCAATAGAAGCCAAAAGACCATGTGGGAGACCAAAAAGCAGATGGATAGATAGAATAAACAAAGATGCAATAGAGCTGCATGCAGATAACTGGAAAGAAACAGCCCAAGACAGGCAGAGAT